GCAAATGCCCATGGATGCACACGCAAAGGAAGCTTCTCCCGTTTGCTCCATCCCCAGTGCAGACTCAGCAAAGCTGCCCTCTCCATCATCTGGGGCAGTGAGAGCTGGTTGTGATTTCTCTCTAGGATCAAATCATAGACTCATAGAATCAAAGAGTTGGAAGAGACCTCATGGGCCATCCAGTCCAACCCCCTGCCAAGAAGCAGGAATATTGCATTCAAAGCACCCCTGACAGATGGCCATCCAGCCTCTGTTTAAAAGCTTCCAAAGAAGGAGCCTCCACCACACTCTGGGGCAGAGAGTTCCACTGCTGAATGGCTCTCACAGTCAGGAAGTTCTTCCTCATGTTCAGATGGAATCTCCTCTCTTGTAGTTTGAAGCCATTGTTCCGCGTCCTAGTCTCCAAGGAAGCAGAAAACTAGCTTGCTCCCTCCTCCCTGTGGCTTCCTCTCACATATTTATACATGTCCCTCATCATGTCTCCTCTCAGCCTTCTCTTCTTCAGGCTAAACATGCCCAGCTCTTAAGCCGCTCCTCATAGGGCTTGTTCTCCAGACCCTTGATCATTTTAGTCGCCCTCCTCTGGACACATTCCAGCTTGTCTTGAATTGTGGTGCCCAGAATTGGACACAATATTCCAGGTGTGGTCTAACCAAAGCGGAATAGAGGGGTAGCATTGACTTCCCTAGATCTAGACACTATGCTCCTATTGATGCAGGCCAAAATCCCATTGGCTTTTTTGCCGCCACATCACATTGTTGGCTCATGTTTAACTTGTTGTCCACGAGGACTCCAAGATCTTTTTCACACGTACTGCTCTCAAGCCAGGTGTCCCCCATTCTGTATCTTTGCATTTCGTTTTTCCTGCCAAAGTGGAGTATCTTGCATTTGTCACTGTTGAACTTCATTTTGTTAGTTTTGGCCCATCTCTCTAATCTGTCAAGATCGTTTTGAATCCTGCTCCTGTCCTCTGGAGTATTGGCTCTCCCTCCCAATTTGGTGTAGTCTGCAAACTTGATGATCCTGCCTTCTAACCCTTCATCTAAGTCATTAATAAAGATGTTGAACAGGACCGGGCCCAGGACGGAACCCTGCGGATGGCACTCCACTCGTCACTTCTTTCCAGGATGAAGAGGAAGCATTGGGGAGAATCACCATTTAACCAATTACAGATCCACCTCACCGTAGTTTTGCCTAGCCCACATTGGACTAGTTTCCTTGCCAGAAGGTCATGGGGGACCTTGTCGAAGGCCTTCCTGAAATCCAGGTACGCTCACATCCACGGCATTCCCCGCATCTACCCAGCTTGTAACTCTATCGAAAAAAGAGATCAGATTAGTCTGGCATGACTTGTTTTTGATAAATCCATGTTGACTATTAGCGATGACCGCATTTGTTTCTAAGTGTTTGCAGACCACTTCCTTAACAATCTTTTCCAGAATCTTGCCTGTTCCACTGCTGAACGGCTCTCACAGTCAGGAAGTTCTTCCTCATGGCTTAGGACAACTGCTATTGGCTATTTGGGCACATAAGCTGAGACAATTAGGACAGAACCCTATCCACCTACCTATCTTCTGTCTACCTATCATCTACCTATCATCTACCTATCCATCTATCTATCTATTGCCCTTGAGCTTTGCCCTTGCGTTTTGGACTTGTAGTTCACCTATATTCAGAGAGGACTGTGGACTCAATTTGGACCAAAACTTGGCAATTTGGACCAAAACTTGGCAATTTGGACCAAAACTTGGATTTGGACCAAACTTGGCACAGATATTCAATATGCCCAATGTGGACAGATATTCAATATGTGGACAGATATTCAATATGCCAAATGTGAACACTGGTGGAGTTTGGGGAAAACAGACCTTGACATTTGGGAATTGTAGTTGCTGGGATTTATAGTTCACCAACAATCAAAGAGCACCAACAATCAAAGAGGATGGGAGGAAGGTGGCGGTGTTGAGGAGTTATCCATCTCTCCGTTGCCATGGACCGACCACCACCTGGTCAGCTTTAGACTCACTGCACCCCCTAACCTCCGCAGAGGTGGAGGACCCATTAAATTGGTCCGCCCCAGGAGGCTTATGGATCCGGATGGATTCCTGACGGCTCTTGGGGAATTTCCCGCCACCTCGGTTGGTGATCCTGTTGATGCCCTGGTCGCTCTCTGGAATGGGGAGATGACTAGGGCAATAGACACGATCGCTCCAGAACGTCCCCTCTCAAGTAGCCGAGCTAAACCAGCCCCTTGGTTCACCGAGGAGCTGGCAGCGTTGAAGCGAAAGAAGAGGGAACTAGAGAGCGTGTGGCGTTCGGATCCGAGCGAGCCAAATCGAACACGGTTTGTGTCCTTTTTAAGGGCATATGCCGCGGCAATAAAAGCCGCAAAGAAGACTTTCTTTGCGGCCACTATTGCGTCTGCAAAGAACCGTCCGGCTGAACTGTTCCGAGTTGTCAGAGGCCTGTTAAAACCCACCACTCAGGATGGGTGCCCTGATGACTCGGCAGCTCGCTGTGAAGCTTTGCTCAGTTCTTTGCAGACAAAGTCGCTTTGATCCGCTCTGGACTGGATACCATATTAACGGCAGTCTCTGAGGATGTAACACGAGCATCTGCTTGTCCAGTTTTGATGGATTCATTTCAATTGGTTCAATCCGAGGATGTGGACAAGGTGCTTGGAGGAATGAGAGCTACCACATGCATCCTAGACCCCTGCCCATCCTGGCTTCTAAAAGAGGCCAGAGGGGGATTGGCCGAGTGGGTGAAGGTGGTGGTTAATGCCTCCCTTCGGGAGGGCAAAATTCCAGCCAGCTTAAAACAAGCTGTGATAAAACCGCTGTTGAAGAAACCATCACTGGACCCCACTCAATTCGTCAACTATCGGCCTGTTTCCAATCTCCCCTTTTTGGGCAAAGTCATGGAACGTGTGGTGGCCTCACAACTCCAGGCATTCTTGGTAGACACGGATTATCTGGATCCGGCACAGTCTGGCTTTAGGCCGGGGCATGGTACCGAGACAGCCTTGGTCGCCTTAGTGGATGATCTGCGTCGGGAGCTCGACAGGGGGAGTGTGTCCCTGTTGGTGCTGCTTGACCTCTCAGCGGCCTTCGATACCGTCGACCACGGTATCCTTCTGGGACGCCTCACGGGGATGGGTCTTGGAGGTACTGTTCTGCAGTGGCTCCGCTCATTCCTCGAGGGTCGGTCTCAGAAGGTGTTACTGGGAGACTCCTGTTCAACCCCACAACCTTTGTCTTGTGGGGTTCCTCAGGGTTCAATACTGTCTCCCATGTTGTTTAACATCTACATGAAGCCGCTGGGCGAGATCATCCGGAGTTTCGGAGTGCGATGTCATCTGTACGCAGATGATGTCCACCTCTGTCACTCCTTTTCACCTGCTACTAAGGAGGCTGTCGAGGTCCTGAACCGGTGCTTGGCCGCTGTGACGGTCTGGATGGGGGCGAACAAATTGAAATTGAATCCAGACAAGACAGAGGTACTCCTGGTTAGTCGCAAGGCCGAACAGGGTATAGGGTTACAGCCTGTGTTAGACGGGATCGCACTCCCCCTGAAGACGCAGGTTCGCAGTTCGGGTGTGATCCTGGACTCATCGCTGAGCCTGGAATTCCAGGTTTCGGCGGTGACCAGGGGAGCATTCGCACAATTAAAACTTGTGCGCCAAACTGCGCCCGTACCTTGGGAAGTCTGACTTGGCCACGGTAGTCCACGCTCTGGTTACATCCCGTTTAGACTACTGCAACGCTCTCTACGTGGGGTTGCCTTTGAAGACAGCTCGGAAGCTCCAACTAGTCCAACGCTCGGCAGCCATGATCTTAGTATTAACAGGAGCGGGGCGCAGGGAGCATACAACTCCTCTGCTGTACCAGCTCCACTGGCTGCCGATATGCTACCGGGCTCAATTCAAAGTGCTGGCGTTGGCCTTTAAAGCCCTAAACGGTTCTGGCCCAACTTATCTATCCGAACGTATCTCAGCCTATCAGCCCACCAGGACCCTAAGATCTTCTGGAGAGTCCCTGCTCTCTATCCCGCCGGCTTCACAAGTGCGGCTGGCGGGAACGAGACAGGGCCTTTTCTGTGGTGGCCCCTCGGCTTTGGAACACCCTCCCTATAGAGGTACGATCAGCCTCCTCGCTGATGGTGTTTCGGAAGAGATTGAAGACATGGATGTTTAAACAAGCATTCGGTTAATCCGTTGCAACGAATTTTGATGACTAAAGGATGGGTAATCATGGACGACGAATTTTGGATTGCGATTTCAGTTACGAGATGCATGGGATTGTTATTGGTGGCCCAATAACTTGTATTGTATATGTGTTTTATGCTTTTAAATTGAATATTGTTTTTTAACTGTTGTAAACCGCAATGAGTCGCCGACTTAGGCTGAGATATTAGCGGTATACAAGCGTATAAATAAATAAATATAAATAAATCCAACAATGGAATTGAACCTAACTTGGCACACACAACTCCCATGGCCAACAGAATATACTGGAAGGGTTTGGTGAGCATTGACCTTGAGTTTTGTAATTGTAGTTCACATACATCCATAGAGCACTGTGGACTCAAACAATGATAGATCTGGACCAATTGGGCTGAACTTCCCACACGGAATTCCCATGATAAATAGAAAATACTATGTTTTCTGGTGGTCTTTGGTGACCCTTCTGGTACCCCCTTGCGACCCCCTCCCCCAGGGGTCCTGCCCTCCAGGTTGAGAAACGCTGCTCTAGAACTTCCATGATCACGTTAGCTCTCTTCCATATGGACTGATATTGCCCTATAAACAGATTGCAACATGTAACAACATTTGAAAAAAATAGGTTCCTGGTTTGAAAGTGTTATTTCCTTTATAATTTTGCGGTTCCCAGAAGATACAAATCAGATGGAAACTCATTCTGAAACATCTCATCTCAACGTATTAATTTCCTTGTTGATGCGTGGGAGGAGTGGAAACATGGGACGCAACCCCAACTCACCTACATACTCTGGATCCACGCGGGGAGAATAGAGGCCGAATTTGATGAAGATGGGGAGGAGGAAGCCGAAGCGCACCCACTCGATCACATAGAGCGGGGGACTTGCCTCATTGGACTTCAGCAAGTTGCAGCCCAGGATGGTGCTCTCTCCTTTGCGGCCAATCACCGTGCGAGGCTCACCTTCCCTCTCACCTGCAGGTGGGTAATGGTGAAAAAGTATGGTGAATTGCACACGCCCAAAGGCTTCCGTTTAGAAGTGTCCATGACCTAGTCCTCCAAAGACCAATGTATGTGAGTGAAACAGAGTGACAAGAAGAAGCAAGGAAGCACATTACAATTATTATTATTATTATTATTATTATTATTATTATTATTACTACTACTACTACTACTCGGAGCCCCCGGTGGCGCAGTGGGTTAAAGCACTGAGCTGCTAAGCTTGTTGATCGAAAGGTCGCAGGTTCGATTCCGGGGAGCGGTGTGAGCTTCCGCTGTCAGCCCTAGCTTCTGCCAACCTAGCAGTTCGAAAACATGCAAATGTGAGTAGATCAATAGGTACCACTCCAGCGGGAAGGTAACGGCGCTCCATGCAGTCATGCCGGCCACATGACCTTGAAGGTGTCTACGGACAACGCTGGCTCTTCGGCTTAGAAATGGAGATGAGCACCACACCCCAGAGTCAGACATGACTGGACTTAATGTCAGGGGACTACCTTTACCTTTACCTACTACTACTACTACTACTACTTGTTACATGACAAGATCATCACTCTGCTGGCTGTTGTATTAAATCACGCGTTGGACATTTCTAGAACTGTGTGATATATCGGCCAATAATGCATGCAGATCCAAGTAGGGTGGCATTTTGCAGCTGACAGATGGTGATTTTGTCAACGCCGATTGTTTTTAAGTGCAGGCCAAGGTCTTTATGCACTGCACTCAGTGTGCAGACCTTATTATTTTTGTTATTATTATTATTATTATTATTATTATTATTATTATTATTATTTGCTTTTGCTGTTCGTTTATTATATTGCAGTGGTTCTCAACCTTCCTAATGCTGCGACCCCTTAATGCAGTTCCTCATGTTGTGGTGACCCCCAACCATCACATTGTTTTTGTTGCTACTTCCTAACAGTCATTTTACGACTGTTATAAATCATAATGTAAATATCAGATATGCAAGATGTATTTTCATTCACTGGACCAAACTGGACACAAACACCCAATGCACCTACGTGTAAATGCTAGTGGGGTTGGGGGAGGATTGATTTTGTATTTTGGGAGTTGTAGTTGCTGGGACTTATAGTTCACCTATAATCAAAGAGCATTCTGAACTCCACCAGCGATGGATTTGAACCTAATTTGCCACACAGAACTCCCATGACCAACGGAAAACACTGGAAAGGTTTGGTGGGTATTGACCTTGAGTTTGGGAGTTGTAGTTCACCTATATCCAGAGAGTACTGTGGACTCACGCAATGGTGGATCTGGACCAAAGTTGGCACAAATACTCAATATGTGCAAATGTGAACACTGGTGGAGCCTGGGGAAAATAGACCTCGACTATTGGGAGTTGTAGTTACTAGGATTTATAATTCATTACAATCAAAGAACATTCTGAACTCCGCCAACGATAGAATTGGCTCAAACTTCCCACATGGAATCCCCATGACCATCAGAAAATACTGTGTTTCCTGATGGTGTTTGGCGACCCCTTTGACACCCCTTTGCGACCCCCTCAGGGGTCCCGACCCCCAGGTTGAGAAACACTGTTATATTGGTTTTGCATTTTATGTATTTTATTTCTGATTTTGTTATGCTTTTGTGTTATATTGTGTTACTGTAGTTTGGGCATGGCCTCATCTCCCCTGGGGGAGATGGAGTGGGGTATAAATAAAGTCTTATTTATTATTATTATTATTATTATTATTATTATTATTATAAAAAAGAGAAGCAATTTATTAAATGGTTTTGAATATCTCTGTGGAGAGAAAAGCAGGGTATAGAATCATAGAATCATAGAATCAAAGAGTTGGAAGAGACCTCATGGGCCATCCAGTCCAAACCCCTGCCAAGAAGCAGGAATATTGCATTCAAATCACCCCTGACAGATGGCCATCCAGCCTCTGTTTCAAAGCTTCCAAAGAAGGAGCCTCCACCACACTCCGGGGCAGAGAGTTCCACTGCTGAACGGCTCTCACAGCCAGGAAGGTTCTTCCTCATGTTCAGATGGAATCTCCTCTCTTGTAGTTTGAAGCCATTGTTCCATTGCGTCCTAGTCTCCAGGGAAGCAGAAAACAAGCTTGCTCCCTCCTCCCTGTGGCTTCCTCTCACATATTTATACATGGCTATCATATCTCCTCTCAGCCTTCTCTTCTTCAGGCTAAACATGCCCAGCTCCTTAAGCCGCTCCTCATACGGCTTGTTCTCCAGACCCTTGATCATTTTAGTCGCCCTCCTCTGGACACATTCCAGCTTGTCAATATCTCTCTTGAATTGTGGTGCCCAGAATTGGACACAATATTCCAGGTGTGGTCTAACCAAGGCAGAATAGAGGGGTAGCATGACTTCCCTGGATCTAGACACTAGACTCCTATTGATGCAGGCCAAAATCCCATTGGCTTTTTTGCCGCCACATCACATTGTTGGCTCATGTTTAACTTGTTGTCCACGAGGACTCCAAGATCTTTTTCACACGTACTGCTCTCGAGCCAGGCATTGTCCCCCATTCTGTATCTTTGCATTTCATTTTTTCTGCCAAAGTGGAGTATCTTGCATTTGTCACTGTTGAACTTCATTTTGTTAGTTTTGGCCCATCTCTCTAATCTGTCAAGATCGTTTTGAATTCTGCTCATGTCCTCTGGACTATAAATAAACAAAATAAACAAAATAATAATAATAATAGAAATACGTCTGAATATGTATCTTTTATAGAAATACATTTTAATATATGTTTTTGTGGTATTTTACAATGTTTATGTGTTATTATTTATTTACTTACTTTTATCCTGCTTTTCTCTCACAAAGTGGCAAATAAAATAGAAAAACACCCCTCCAAACTACATAATACAGAAAACCATCATCTCACCAACTCGACATAACAATAAATTGTGTTTTATGAACAATCATGTAAGGTAAAGGTAAAGGTTTTCCCCTAACATTAAGTCTAGTTGTGTCCAACTCTGAGGGGTGGTGTTCATCTCCATTTCTAAGCCAAAGAACCGGTGTTCTCCATAGACACCTCCAAGGTCATATGGCCTGCATGACTGCATGGAGCACCATTATCTTCCCACAGCAGTACCTATTGATCTACTCACATTTGCGTGTTTTCAAACTGCTAGGTTGGCAGAAGCTGGGGCTGACAGCAGGAGCTCACCCCGCTCCCCGGATTTAAACTGCCGACCTTTCGGTCAGCAAGTTCAGCAGCTCAGTGGTTTAACTCACTGCACCACCAGGGGGTCCTTAACACAATTTACATGAATATAGATAGCATAAACATAATCACATACATCATTATCATAAATCCTTATGCTTCAAGCCACTGCGGTCATTCTAAAACATTAAAATGTTAAGAGCTCCAAGTTTTTGGCCACGTGAGCCTTGACTGACCAAGATAAGCTGTTATTGTGTGTTGTCAAGGAAGGCCTGCTCCCATAAAAAGGTTTTCACCTGAGAACGAAAGGCCAATAATGAAAAGGTCGAATGCACCTCTTTGGAGTGGGAGTTCCAGAGCTGTGGGGCCACCACTGAAAAGGCCCTCTCTCTCGTTCCGACCAACTGCTTGTAACGGTGGTGGGACTGAGAGAAGGCCCTCTCCTGATGATCTCAGGGCTCATGTGGGCTGATAGGAGGAGATGCAATCCCTCAAGTTGGTTGGGCCCGAACTGTTTTGGACTTCATAGGCTAAAGCCAGCACCTTAAATTGCGCCCAGAAACAAACTGGGACCCAGTGTAGCTGCCTCAGGAGCAGGGTCGTTCTTTCATTGCTCCTGGAAGCATTCTAGCTGCTGACCTTTCATAGAATCATAGAATCAAAGAGTTGGAAGAGACCTCATGGGCCATCCAGTCCAACCCCCTGCCAAGAAGCCAGTTGCAGTTTCCGAACGCTCTTCGGAAGACAGAGGGGAGCAGAAGACATTTCCATCTTGTCTTTACTAATAATATAATATAGTATGTTGTATATACATATAATATTTATAATATTGCAATGTAATACAATATAATACTAACAATAACATATTATAATTATATATTTTATATTACATTTAATATTACTAATAATATTACAGTATAGTGGTATAGTACAATATAGTAATACTGTATATACTCGAGTATAAGCCTAGTTTTTCAGCCCCTTTTTTAGGCTGAAAAATCTCCCCTCAGCTTATACTCGAGTCAATGTTATTTACTATTTTACTCTGTTATTAGTATTATTTTTATTGCATTTATTATTTTACTCTATTTATTATTATTATTATTATTATTATTATTATTACATTTATTATTTTACTCTTTATTATTACAACATTTATTATTTTATTTATTATTGTTATTATTACAATTATTATTTTATTCTCTTATTACTGTTATTACATTTCCATTATTTTACTCTATTATTATTTTTATTACATTTATTATATTACTCTTTATTATTATTGGAAGGATACGTAAGCACATTTACATTGAAGTAGGTTAGAATAATGGTTTAATCAGAGTTGGACAGCTTTGTCTTAAATTACGTAAATCTACTGATGCCTCAATTAATGTAATTTTATTGGTATCGACTAGCCATTCCCTGCCAGACGTTGCTGTGGCCTACTCTGGTGGTCATGGGGGTTCTGTGTGGGAGGTTTGGCCCAATTCTATCATTGGTGGGGTTCAGAATGCTCTGTGATTGTAGGTGAACTATAAAATCCCAGCAACTACAACTCCCAAATGTCAAGAATCTATTTTCCCCAAACTCCGCTATTCCTGTAGAGTTTGGCCCAGCTCCATCATTGTTTGAGTCCAGTGATCTCTGGATGTAGGTGGACTACAACTCCAAAACCAAAGGTCACTGCCCACCAAACCCTTCCAGAATTTTCTGTTGGTCATGGGAGTTCTGTGTGCCAAGTTTGGTTCAATTCCATCGTTGGTGGGGTTCAGAATGTTCTTTGATTGTAGGTGAACTATAAATCCCAGGAACTACA